ACACACACACGCACGCACGCACGCACGCACGCACGCACGCACACACACACACACACGTTTGTTTCTCAACCCCGTGGGGACCTTCCATTGACTTCCATTCATGTTTTTTAGACTTTATAGCCTAACCCTGACCATATAATCTAAAATTAACCTCACAGAAACTTACCTGACCCTAAAACTAACTAAATCTTGGTCCTAAACCTAACCCCACACCTGTAACATGCATTTGGACCCGTGRGGACCTGACARTGGTCCCCACGATTCACTTCGGTCCCCACCTGGCTGCCTTTTTTTGTAAAAAATACCCCATGTTGTAGGAAAAACCCGTCCACACACACAYGCACACACACAAAAAGAAAAAAGAGAAAAATAGGGGTAACGCTAAGTTGTAGGAGGCAAGAGGTGAAYTGAGATTCAACATGAGGGAAACCTGTAATTGTTTGGCCACCTGCTGATGACCAGTGGCACCTGTTGCACCTGCTATTGTTTCTTCTCTAAAACCTCCATAAGACAAGAGCTGAATATCCATTTCCCTTTAATCAATTCGCAATTTATTCCCCTCCCTCTTCCAATCTCCCTTCCATTTATTATGCATTATTTGCCCTTTTTAAACTATTCACAACTAACCGTCTTATCTAATTTGGTATTCGGATAAGGTTTTCGCTGTTGGCTCAATTAATACAATGGCATGTCCTCCCTAATCCAAGTTGCATAAAAGACACCTACAGCACACGTTTGCACATGCCATGATAAATCCACACTTTCAGGAATTACTTTTATCAGGCTATGTGCACAAATAACAAAGACAACGTAGGCGTAATCTTCTACAGGACTGTGCTTTATTTTAGTCTAAGCAGAATATAATGAACTAGAGATCTACAGAGTTCAGGATCACTATGGGAAACATCATCCCGAATCAGGGAAACAGATCCCAGCCACCGTTAATTCAAATTACATTTCTGTTTCCAAAAAAAGAAAGAAAGAAATAAAAACAGAAAACAGCAACTTATTATTATTTTTTTTACAAATCAAAAATAAAAGACATGATATATTTATCTCATTGTGAATGTAAATACATAATTCTATTATGCTTAAATAAAGTTGAACGGCAATTAAAAGTAAAACTAGTGAAGCTGGGACTGTGATGATTAGCGATACAACAATTACCTAGGACTAAATGGGAACACTTTAAAGGTTTTCAATGAACGCTTGATTAAAGCAAACTGCTCAGCTGGCTGAGTTTGTTTACATTTTGGTCCTTGTAACCAATGAAATGAAGGTCAATGACCACATCCATAATTGTGTCAGAATGGGCTTGAGGCAAAAACTGATCTGGCTAAATATTTGTTTTAAAGAGCATTTGGCATCCCCAGAATACAGTGTCTGAGCACTGTTCACAGGTAGTGCTGTCAAAGAGAACAGGCTGGGTTTAAGGCAGAATTCCTTACTTAACTTTTACAAACCAACTTGACTGGAGTGAAGCAATGTCACATGATCTGCTGGCGGCACAGTGTCTTTTGTGGATTGAGTCACATTAGGTAAGAAACCGTGGTTGAATTGTCCCTTAAGCAGGAGCAAAAAAGCATGAAACTCAGATGTATATCAATGGTGAATTACCCTGAAAAAACTATTAAATAAAAGTACATTGAAGACATAAAGAGAAGAAAGGAGTGGGACACCAATGGTAATTAAAGTACAATAAGATATGTTAGCATCGACCCCAAAACCAACAGGATAGCAAGATTTGGTATATTTTTTGTCATGTATTTTTTCTTCTTTGTTGGGCATTTTAAGTCATTTTATTTCCACTCAACTAAAGGCCTCAATAAGATTATTWTGAACAATGCTGATCTATTTGAACTCATTTGTGCAATGACATTTTTTCACTGAATCCACAGGCCATGCTGTTCAATCGTCCCTTTACAGTGCAGTTTGCTAATTCTTGAATTGATTTTACAGCTTTCAGCGAGAGAAAAAAATCTATTTGGATGTGTTATTCACAGGGGATGTTTCACAGGGATTGTGCATCCCCTGCCACACAAAATAATATCTGACTAAATCTTGTGACAGTGGGTCTTCCCAGCTTCAGCCAATAATAACACAACAAAGAGAATGAAAAAAACATCTCAACATGAGTTTTAAAAATCCCATTTTTTGAATACTATTGTGTCACTATACAAGAAATAAAATCATGTTATCTTCTGTTTTCCATAAATTATTTCATAGTTTTCTTTTCTTAGTTTCAATATATTAACTATTCTTTTTTTCTTTTTTTTATTTGAACATGATCTAATGAACGGCCTATAAAGAATGTTAAACATAATTGAAAAATAAGCTATATTATATGTACAGGTATAATGCAGCTGTCAGATTAAGAGAGCAGTGGTAGACTGGGTCAGGCAGGCTGGGGGGTTCTGCTGGACTCAACTATAATTTCTTTCTTGTTCCCCCACCTTTTCCCAGCCCCAGACTAACCATGTATGTGTAGTTCAACCTTATGTATTAAATGCTTGATTCCAAAGTGGTTTATGTACATGCTAAACAAGTTGTTACYTGGAGTTTTAATATGTAAAACTGCCTTCGGTAAATGCTGTAAGCCTCAACTTTCACTTCTGAAGATTTCATTTTTTTAAAGTGTGGTGGTAGCTAATGTGCTCATTCTTCTCTTTTCTTTCTCACTGTCAAACAGAAAGTACGCAGACGGATGAACTCCACTGTTACTGTCATATCTGTTCATCAGCTCCAATTGGACTAATCCAATTACCGCACAGGCAATCGTTCTTCTGTCAGAAAAATCATGACATGTCGGTGTACACAGAATCTTAATTAACGGATCACTTTGAGGCTGTGGCTTAGGTTTGACACTAAGTCAGATACTTTCTAATCCTTGGTCTGATGCTTAGGGGTTGTAGGATGCATGTTCACAGCCCAAACCTAAGGGGCTTAAAAGGACTTAAACTCTCTTAAATCCCTGCACTGCTGTGGATACATTTTATAGTGACATCATTGTCCCACAGAGTTGAGCTTCTCAACACAAGTTGCTATAGAACCTTGCCCTGTTTTTTTGAATAGTTTAAAGGCTATTTACATTAAGAAAGAATGATATTATTAATTAAAAAAAGTTTTCTCATTTTCACTTGATTTCTCTCTTCAGTGTTGTTAAATGTAATCCTGCAGTTTGGGGCATACTTTGTGTTGTTGGCTGATGGTTAGTATCTTCTTCTCCTCAAAACTGAATGATGACAGTTTGAGTCCAAACTTTGATTTAGGTGTTTTATCAGCCTTTCTGCCCTATCAGCATTTCTCACATCAAGATGCAACATTACATCTTGCCCTGCCACCTTATTTATGTGCCTGATCTCCTTCAGGATCAGGGGTAAGGCAAAACTCTGAACCGCTCCACTAATCATGACATCATAAGACCTGATGCCCTGAGTATTGGGAGTGATTTTGTGGAGTTTCAGTTTAGCACACAGCACCCCCACCACCCAGCRCCTCTTTCCACTATTCCTACTTTTTTTTTGTTCCCGTTCAAAATTTGATTTCAAGAGCAAAACCCTTTCTGTGCCAAAATGAGATGACAGAACAGCTCCCTCCCAAAGCAGCTACTAAATGAGAGGCATTAATTTCTTTCCTCCTGTCCAACAGGTTCCTTTAATTATCTCTCCTCTTTCAGTCAATTACATTTCACTTCCTTTCCCTGACAATCACTGCTATTTCAGGGTGAGTGTTATGCACCCAGAGGATTGGATATCCATGCTCTAGCAGTCTTTCACTCCGTCCTGCCATTGGCTATAACCCTCTAAGGATATGTGGTACTCTAAACTACAAGCTGAGTGAGCATAGTGGCAGCTGAAATGGGTATAATGTATGTTCACCATTTTAATTTCAGTGTTGCCTCACTAGCTTTTTGTAAATGTTTATTATATATTTAAAAATATCTACGACTTGAGCCTAAATGTACCTTGTTTTGCACCACCGACAGGGGGATTGCACACTAGATTCACAAGTAACACTTTGTTTTTTTTTTCTGTCAGGCTGAAACAAAAATGTCAAGTTACATTAACTCATATTCAAATTTGAGGGCAAATGTCAATTAGAGGTTGGCAACAACTTGGTGCGCACCTGCTGGGTTGCTATTTGTTAGTCCTCTTGAAGCTGAAACATAGCATGAACTAAGTTTAGACTGAGTCTAAAAGCAAAGCAAGYCAATACAAACAAATTTTCTTTCTTTTTAGTTGAATGTTACAGCTAACTCTACTTTTACTGCATCTCATCACCATCCAGCCAGGGGTGTAAAGGTAATCAGAGTACCCTTGWTAAAAGTGTTTAAGTGCTGGTTTCACATTGCCTAATTTAGCCCTGGCATAGCAGGTATGCTACATGAACGCTGCACTTTTAGCCAAGCTAGACAGCAGGAGACTAGGCTGGGCTGGGTTTYGGCTCACTGGGAAGTCAACCTGCTATTAGTAGAGGGAACAGTACAGCATCTGAAATGTGACGRAAAAGTTCAGTGGAGCGTGCATCCAAAATTCATGACGCTGAATGAATCTGGGAGATTGCCAAGACAAACAAAGGACATTTGACTGATCGTACACTACTGCATTGGTGTGCCCAATGAACAGCTCAGTTTTAAATTGATAATATAGACAAGATGAAGAATGTGGTCCTGTTCCAGTCAACTTTATGTAATTTTGAACATTTACCAAAAAAAAAAAAAAATCAAAAACAAAAAGAGGACCGGAATTTATAACTTACATGTGATAAATCTATTATGTGATAAATTAATTTGAATGACATTATTTTTAACCTGATGTGCTGTGCTTCTATATATGTTTGTGTGTGTGTTGAACAAAACTGCTTTGGATTTTTCTTAGCAAGGATACAATGAAGAAAATGAAAGTATTTTTGTAAAATAGGTTGACTTCAATAGTTGACTGCAGAGATACAATAACACAGGCCTCCCAGTGGCTGCTTCAACGAGCTGGAGCATTTTCTGTAAAATTGTTGGTTTTGACCTAGTTTTAAGTTACAATTGTGGTGAAGAAAAACCAAAATACACTTCTTTCTTTTTTTTGGCATTTTTCTCTCCCTTTTTATGGTTTGGCAATGTCAATCTGTTCTACAATTTTAACACCTTGTTAAGAAAAAAAAAAAAGGAAGAGTTTGTTCCACATCTTTCGTCAACAAATTTAGCTGTATTATTGGTGCCAGGTCAGCTGTCAGCAGCCTTGCCAGGGAGAAGGCACAAACATAATTCTCCCTAATCTTCCTTCTGTCATCCATGTGCATGAAGGGGACCATCTCTGCCGTCATTTGGTTCAAGTGATTATCCCAGTAATTTTTCACTCGGTTGCTGCTAATGTATAGAGAGGCTGATGATTACAGTGCGATTAGGGAAAGGTGAAATAGCATGTTTAATATGGTGCTGGAGATAATTGAAGGGTAGTGAGAATGGACATTAGTCATGTTCAGAAATTCTGTTCTGGGAATGGGGTAAAGTGAGCAGTTGTGTTGTGGTTTGCAAAAGGCATGAACAGCAAGGGTGAGGCAGTACAAGGCATGGTGATAGCATAGCCTGAAATAAAGACCTTCAGCTTATTTAGATGACAAAGGCAGTGCATTACAAAAATAAAATAAAAAATTAAGAAATAAAGAAAAGAAAAATAAAATTGACACATTTGAACAAGTCTTGTCGGCATTTGAATTATAAAAAAAAACTAGAGGGAGGTCCAGGCAAAAGGAAAGGGATTATCAGTAATGAATAGTCTAGTGAGACAATAGTCTATGGTACTTTAGTCATAATTAACCCTTAGTTCTGGTTTTTATAACATATAGTGCAAATCCATAATGTTTGCCACTGGCAACTTGAATTTAGTTTCTAAATTTCTCGATTAAATTATTCCGCAACAACCTAGAAGCATAATTTGAAATGATCTCAACGTGAAAAGTTGTTGACATTTTCTCCTTCCTCTCCCTTCTTGCCTTGCCCTGCCTCTTAATGCCATCTGTCAGTGCTCAGAGGGTTGGGTGTGAGCTGGTGTTCTGCAGAGAAAATTGGGAAGTGCTCATAGTGACTGAAAACACCAATGTTTCTCCCTGAAGACTGACTCCAAACATATTGATCTAGTTTTTTTTTTCTTCTTTTTGTTATAGAGGAGTCTACATGCACAGCTTTAAAACAGTCAAAATAAAGGCTRTGGGACTCTAAATCAAGACATGACAGCACTGGAGTGCTTTGCTCTGTCAGTGTCAGAAAAGCTACAAGGCAAGCTGAATGATGGGTGAGAGTGGCTGTTAGACTTAATGTAGATCTTGCCTGTTTTAGCAGTAGCTTTTCTTTCCATCAACCCTGATGAAAAAAGCAGGTCAGTGRACATGTTTACAATGGAACCCATATATTTGCAGAGCTGAATGAGCCCTAAAAGCCTAAACTCCCTTGCCATCAATGCAGTAAATTGAATTTATCTACAGAGAGATGCTTATTTTTATATGCCAAGAGACAAGATTATATTTTTTTTTCAGTCTAGAGTTTTGGAGCACCTTCAGTGGACATACTCAACCTTGGCATGTTGTTCACAGGCATTCTGTTTCCCAATGATAGGGATTGGCCAATTCATTACTAAACTCAGTTCATTCTGCTGGCAGTTTCAGTAGCTGTCGCTTTACTCCTCTTCTCTTGCTTTTTTTTACTATACCCCTCATGGTCATCCATCTTTCTTCTAAGCATTTTTTTTTTGTTTTGTTTAAGAACTTGTGGCTTCATAGTTTACACTTTTGATGCAATACAAAAAGTCAATGGAAAGGAAAAAAAAAGACACCACATGTCCATTTTGCTTGGTCTTTACAGTGGATTGTCGCTTGAACACAAAGGCTAGCGAGAAGCCTTAAACATCTGCACCCTGTCCAGCACAGACATCGTTAAGTTTAGTGTCTTTTTTATCTCTCTCTCTCGCTCTTGTTTCCATATTTGCCCACCAGAGCAGTCTTTTTTTATAGCTGTCAGAGAGTGCAGTGTCTTGTACATTATGAGTGAAATATCCAGTGGCTGATCCCTTAACATCCATGAGAGAATTCTCTTCCTTCTCATAGGCGTGGATAAGTGTTTTTTTTTCTTTTGTTACTTCCTTAGAAACCCTCTTTTCATGACAACTTGTGTATTTCTTTTTAAACAACAGGAAAAATGTTGCAAATGTACATTGTTTTTATGTTTTTTTTGTTTGTTTGTTTTTTTGTCACTATGTCACTATTCTACAACCGAGTGCTAAATCAGCATCCAGAGCAAAAAAGGTCTGACCCTATACTACGATCCCATATCATTTTTTATACATTATTTCCATTTTCTTTTACTTACAATAGGCCACTGGATAATGATTTAATGCTTTTTTTACTATGAGTAAATTGTAATACTTGCAGCTACAAGGTATGAGTTTTTAAATATATATATTTATATATTTATATATTTATAATTTTTTAAAAAGCGTTTAGTCCTTTGGTCCCTATTTCCTAAGGAATGATGCATGTAAATTATCCTGGATTCTTCACACCTCTCCTCTTCTTGTTTTCTTCTTGATCCAGAGCTTGCCCTGTCACAGAGCACAACACCTGTGTAGGCACAAAAACCAAAATGGCAGCAGGCTGGTGTGTGTGTTTGTGTATATTTGTGTGTGTGTGCGCGCACACGCATGAGTTTGCTTCAGTACTTGTGTTGGCATTTGCACGTATTTATACATGTACAAAGTTTTTTTTTTCATTTGCTAACTGTAGCTTTCTTTAATAGTTGTGTTTGGTTTCTTTTCTTCATTTTTTTCATGTGAGTTTATCTGTATCCTGTGTCAGTATGCATGCTTTGAGCATAATGAGTCTATAAAGTGTTTTTTTTTTTCATCATGTCTAAAAAACAGCAGCAAAAAGTTGGTCTCTGCAAAAAATCTTCCTCCACAGACGCCAAAGCAAAACAGGGAAAAAAGAGGCATTTGCGAAGAAAAAAGAAGAAAAAAATAATACCAATAAAAAACAACTCTGGGATTCTTCTTTCAGTCACCCAATCTTTCAGCGGCTTTTCCAGGAGGATCAAGGGACCACCCTTCCTTCATGATATGTAGCAGAACAAGGAGTCTTTGTACTTTTACTGCACTTGTGGAAATAAGGTGTTGTGGCCCTTCATCCTGTGACACAGAGAGAGGAAAGAGAAAAAGACAGGGGAGAGAATAAGGTGAGTGGATTCAAGGAAGGCTGCGGCAAACATGCTCCGGGTTGCTGGCTCCTGGTTATCACACAGACTGACAGGCACAGCCAACAGCGTGAGGAACAGACGGGAAGGAAAGAAAAGAAAAGGAGAGAAAAAAAAAACATAGTGTGTCAATCACAGCCAGAAATAAGTGGGCTAGAGGTGGGGTGGGAGATTTGTGTTTAAACCATATGGAACAGACATCTACACTGTGACAGCACTAATCCAAGGAAAGCCTAATTTAAATTGACTACATCTTCCTGCCTAAAATAAAAATGACTGCCTGGGTCGGTCATTGCTGTTATTCCTCTTTTTTATCCTACTACAAACAAACTACAAAAGACCAAGGAGAATACAAGACAAAAAAAGTGTTAAAAGGAGTTAAAAACAGAATAATTAGAATGACATAAAACAGATGGCTATAAGGTAAAAAAGGCACTATTTTGTTCCTAGCATCTTTTTTTTAACCTTTGTATTGGCTCAGTATCATGCACTGTTATTAAATGTGTTTGATCGAGCTTTAAATAAAAAAAAAAGATCCTGTTTACAACCTATCGGACCTAATAAGTTGTGAGCTGTGATGTGTGTGAAGAAAAGGCTGCAAAATCACACTAAATCACTCTTTGGGAATGAACATGAAAGGCAGTGACTTTGCGATGGTGACTTGTACYTGGCTGCTCTTTGTTCTACCTTTCCATTTCTGTAAATGAGCTTGTTACCGTTTCCTAATAGATCTGCTTTTTAGCCGGGGTTCTTGATTTGGACATCGTCCTTTTGTGTGACAAAAGCCAGGACAGTCATTAGAGATATATCACACTAACAGGCCCAATTACAGATGCATTAGTTTGCCACAAACATTTCTCCCTATATATGTTGAACAAAAGAAACACAGTGGCTTAAAAACTGTTTTTTCTTAAAAAAACAGCTTCTTTGATGATATTACATCTATTTTAACCACCAAATAGGTCAATAACAAAGAATTTTGTTCTTTTTTCTTTTGTTTCTTTGTTGCCCCACAAGCTAAGATTAGGACAGATACAATAGTCCTTTCTCTGTRGCTCCATCAATGATATGCACTAGTTAAAAAAAAAAAAAAAACATATTTGACATAAAACTTTATCTCTTGTTGTTTGCCTTAGAAAAGAAAACATTTAGCGGGTGAGATTCCTGCAGAGAAAATCAATTTTGTTTGAAACTTTAACTTCTATCAAAGCTGCTCTTGGGGGGTCATCAGCAAAATGACTTGCAAAAAAAAAARAACTTTTATTATGAATTTGTTGGCAGTCATTTTCTTTTCTCACAAATCAAGCAGCTACACGGCATAGAAACAGCCATCACTGATTTTTCATTCAACTAAAGGTACATAAAATGTCATGTTTGGAGATGTATACAGTAGTGTGAACAGATTTAGAGCCTGTGGGTCTGTGGTTCTGTTCCATCTCTTCTGTTGTGATTGTTTGAATCCTCACAAATAAATAAACAAATGAGAAATGATTCTCATGTTAGACAAACACAACCATCCTGCAGAAGTGTTCCCTGTGCAGATGAAATCCAGAGAGAAACGGCGTGTCAACATTTTGTGCACTCTCGGTGAACACTGGCGATTTAATTGGCTCCACAAACACAAAGTCATAATGGTTAGTCTGCAGCTAAACATCTATAAGTTGGATGAAAAATAGGGCCTTTGTGGGAAAAAAAATGAAAAATTTAAAGGAATAGTCCAGATCATTTGAAGTGGAGTTCTGAGACAAAGTCATAGCAAAATAACACATTGCCTGTTGTAGATAACTCTTTGAACAACCTTAGTCTGACCAAAAATAAACAAACAAATAAATAAATAAATAAACAAATAATAAATGTATTAATTACCGATAATTAAAAAATTCTGACCAGATTTATGAGCTAACGCCTAGTCCACGAAGATTCAAGACTAAAATGGATAAATGTCATCTAAAATTAAATATCGTGCTATGTTAATGTTATTTTATGAACCCTTACAGTGTTCATAACCTTGCATGAAATGTACTTCTCGCATCTGCRTTGAATCTGCTCTGTTATGCACTGGAAGTGCTACAACTAGAAGCTCCTACCTCTATTTGTAGTAGCCAAATAACCATAGAATTCTATCTAAATAAGTATGCAATGTAAACGTGATGATTTGTTAAACAGCATGTGCATTACTTGACATGAGACCAAGATTTTTTGTTCAAATACTGAGGTTGATTTAAAGGTCTCTGCTCCGCGTGGGCTAACAGCTACCATGTCATTCCCATGAACATAAATAAAGACAAAAGAAACAGCTTTTGTCAAAAATCAAAGCCAAAAATCTATTTTTTGGGGGTGTTGCATTTTTCATTATTGACAGGGTGCTGTACCAGTATTACAAAAGCTACACCCACTTAGCTAACCCAACTGCCACACACTGTCAACAGAGTATAACATGACTCTTTTAAAGCCTCAAATAGCTAACTGAAACTGAATATGTACTTAAAAAATATTGTTAAACATACACTGGCAAACTAAGTGCTACTGTATGTGAATCAACAAAAATGAACACTAGTGTATTTCTATTTTTTTGCTAGGATAGTATCTTAATTGCCTACATAAAGAGGTGGAAAAAAAAAACATCAACCAACCTTAAATGAGGTGCYTGTCTTTTGTGGCTTTTACAGTATACTGTATGTCTTATACATGCTGATGTTCATTTTGCTCAGACAGAAATGTAATTTCTCCAAATTGAGGCCACCGAAAGAGCTATCTACAACCTGTAAGATATTAATTGTTAACATCCTTTCCACAAAACCCCAGTTCACAAGATCTGAACTAGAAAATAAAAAAATAATAGCTTGCTGAAGAGCAATACTGTTGATGTGTATGTAAAGAAGTAGAGAGATAGAAAATAGAGTACAACCATCCACACAAACCCCACAGGAAATGTAAAACATCACAAGGGCACACGATACAATGGCACAAAGGGTTTAAGGCCACTTCCAGTTATAATCCACCAACCAGTCAGCACGTCATTTACAGATACCAGCCAAGAAAGGCATTGAAAACTGCACTCCACAAACTGCCAATATACAATAAACAGTATATATATAGGATATATATAAAAGGAGGGCAGAATATAAAGAGATAGAGTTTAGAAATATCAATAAACGCCACGTCATGCAACGCAGTCACAGTCCCACCACATGACGTCATCCAAAAAAAATGACACCATGGGTTCAACTTACAGCTGAGGGAACTTGGCCCCATGACAGGTGTAGGGGGGGAGGTGAGTGGCTATAGCAGAAAAAGGCCACCTCACACTGTGATTGGCCATGTCAGGTTGCCAGGTTGGTGGGGGTGAAAAAAAAAAGAAAGAAACAGTGGGATTTTCTTTTCCTGAAGTTAGAATTCAAAGCACCTGCTCCATTTTTGTGCTCCACACTCTCACTTATTCTGCCTGACAAATCAAATGAGGTTATTATAGTTATTATCATAAAACTAAAAAAAGACAGTAAAACAGAAGTAATAGAACAAATGATATTCAGCACAGTAAAGAATGAGGCCTTTTTGTGCCTCAGCATGGTGGTAAAATATTCTCAGGCTGACAACATTTGCAGGTTAAAAGGTTGAATTGATGTTTTTTATATTCACAAAGATAACCCTTATGGCAGAAATGCATATTTCACAAACGTGTCCTGTCTTCAGTAATTGGATTTGCCTTGCATTGTTTGCTGAGGGTGGCTGTACAGTGAGTGCTTCAGCATTTTTTTGCATTAAGTTTATCTTTAAGACACAGAATGCAATTTTTGAGCAGCGAGGCTCCTGAGACCTGCAGAAGAGAACCCTGTCTGATTGTGTTTTTAATTCAACTTCCAGGCAACATTGTCAGGGTTGAGAAAAAAGCCCAAAAAAAAAAAAAAAGAAAAAGAAAAAGAAACAACAGCTTCTACACTTATCTACATATTGAACTTTTTTACTTATAAGAAACAAAAAAAGGAAACTAATCACAGAACTTTCATCAAAGTTTTTCTCCACAACTGATAAATAAAAAAACTTTAAAGTTACCTCAAAAGGAACAATATTAATAATATTCATAATAAAATTAAACAAAAATAGCTTTTTATTAAAACATTTGCTTTGTAAAATGTCATGTTTGATTTTAAGGATTTTGAAAAACTTCAACTGTGGCAAAGAGCTGACCTCAAAAGCTCCAGTGTATTTTTCTTTAACATTTTCATTGAGTTGAACTTGTTTGTGCTGTATTGGTTTTCTTTAACTCAACAACAGAAATGGTGTAATAACAGAAGGAAAACAGAGATGGATTGAATTGGACCTGAGATGAAGGAGGACACGGAAATACACACATACCAAACTACACACATACACATACACACACAAACACACACCCATCTTGGTTAAGTGATGAAATGTTATTTGAAGAAATGTGTTTACTTGGCGGCTTTTAAAGTACATCTCAATGACTACCCTGTCATTCAGTGATGTGGCAGGATGTTTTCCATTTGTCCCTTGTTAATGCAATAAATCAAATTCACCCTGCCCTCTTCTTTCTTCTTCATGTGTCAGCTTTGAAAGCTTCTCCTCAATTAACAGGGTGCAGCCCTATTCAAATGCTATCAGAGAAATGGTAGAAGCAGCATGTATCATTTGTATTGCGTATGCCATCCTGTGGCTTTTAAAGAGTCAAATTTAAAACAAGCAAATGGGATTACGTGCATTTATTTATGGAGGCAGAGAATCCAGGCTTATGTTATTGCTGTGAAAAGTTGTCCTGCCAATTGGGTTTAGAGCGCATGCATCTATATTATTTTTTGCACTGGCAGCTGCAGTTTGTAAACAGATGGGCCATGATTATTTGAATCATTTGTGACATTGTGAAATTAGTCTGTTGAGGGATGGTACTGCTAAAAGTAAGCCACATATTTGTTGTTAAATATAAAGGCGTAAATATTAAATGGTTTAAAAAGGGAATTGTTTAAGTTATCTGGTGGCAAATGCACCACCATGTCATTTCAGAAAGATTAAGGCACACGTTTATCATAAAGGTATTTCCTTAGCATGAAATTTTGAGTTTATATTTGCTATATTATTAAATTAATGCATTGATAATTATTGCTAATGTTATGTAAATCTAACTGTTATAAATAAAAAAATCAATTAATGAAAATTAAAAGAAGAAGAAGTATAAAAAGTATGTTTGCTTTGCTAAATATTAAGCATTTATATTGTTTTAAAGAATTAAGTGTTGGATCAACATCTTTTAATACAAATTCAGCTTCTCTCCTAGTTCCCAAATTAAAAAGGTAGGCTGAGCCAATCTGAAATTACTTGATCAAATAATGATTATATCCCACTGTGTGAGTTGGATCCATTTTAATTTGTTTAATTCAGTAAGACTGACTCAAGTGATATAAAACAAAATAATTGTTCAGAAAAAATGGCTGTTGCTTCATTGATATATCTCAGTCAARTAATTCAAACAAATTTGAGAAGTAACAGCATTCAAACAATAATGCTCATTTAAAGTTGCATAATACAAATTGAGAAAAAATAATTTAATGTAACTAAACTGACACAGTTTTAAGTGAATAATGCATATACACCATATTTAATAATTAAATATTGATACAAATCATGATATTAGAGTTTGTCTTGTGCATGGCGATGATTTAAGACTGTAATCCTGGTTGTATTTGCTTGAATGGTACAAATTTTGGAGGCTTTTATTGTAGCGGTGCCAAGAGTAACTTGGGGGAGGGGGTGAAAGAATCATGTATATTTGAAAATAGTAATGTGGAAATAATACATAAATAGGACAAAAATACCTACAGGAAGGTTCTCATTCATTTTTAGAATCTGCTAATTTAAAACCCCTTTTATCAAAGTGTTGCACTGTAACTAATATCACTGTCATTGCACTGCATTTGTAACCATAAATCAGACCATTATGTGTTGTAAAAATGGGCAGGATAGTCACAAAATAATAAGTGACAATTTAAACAATTACCAAACAGGRATCATTGATTATACTCTGTTTAGAATCTGTCATATATCGTTCAACATTGTTTGCACTTGTATCACGTGTATGCAAAGATTGAATTAGTTTTACACTTTAGATGTATAAATACAAATGTTTGCACTGTTTAATGTGTAACTGGACGTTTGTTTAAATCCAACAAATTAGGACTAAAAAAGTCCTAATAATAAACATGCTTCATTGTCTTAAATAATGAAGATTCATCATTTAAAAAATCTTTCTTATACTCACCATGGTCACTGGAGGGCTAAATTTACTCCCTGCTGCTTTTCATCTCCTCGCCAATTTTCCCCATGAGACAAGGTGTAGCACAAATTTGACTCGAGAGTTTGACAGAAATGTATCACAGAGCTACTTCAGGAAGGAAAATTTGTGCTATTTGGGGGTTGGAACTTTAAGCTAAATCCTTTAGATCAATTGCCACCATTACATCCAGTGGAGAGATAACTACACACAGCCGAGGATTGGCCTTGAGCTTTTTGTGGGTACAAATTAGATTCGACAAAGCAAAAAAAAAAAAAAAAAAAAGAACATGCTTCTGTGGAGCGGGGCAACCTGACAAAGATCTCTAAAATTTGTAGAGGCAGGGTGGTAGAATTTAAAAGTGTTGGCAGGTATTTAAAATAAGCCAAGTCAATTTAAAATTATTATTCATAAATCGAATGGAATTTCTATACATGTGGGGACAAAGTCAAATTTAATTTGCACAGTTTTCTTATAGTTGACAACGTTTGATACTAAGTCATTTACTTTGGCAATTAAATAGTTTTGAACATACCAACAGAGCGTTTGGGAAATGCACTCTTTGCCAGTGAAGTAGGAGATTTTCAAAATACCGCAACGCGTTACAGGARCAAATGTTACCGTACCTGGTTATGGACAGCAGACGAGTTAGTAAGGTCGGTTGGCATCCTTTGGCCGCTTTAGCTGCACCTTCAGCCTCTTCATGCCTATCTGAAAGCCGTTCATGGCCTGGATAGCGGCTTGAGCGCTGGACGGGTTATCAAAACTCACGAAGCCTAAGACAAGCCCACAGAGCAGGATAGAGATGAGACATGGAGGGAAATGAGGAATGGAAAGGGGAATAGAAAGAAAGCAAGAGACAGGTGAGATGAAGGAAAATCCCTTTTTAACTCTCATCAATGACACAACAAAGGGTCTTTGTTTTCTCTTTTTCAGGAGATTAATTGAAAATCTTTGAATTCAAAAGATTGCATAAAATATCACAAAGACTAATAACAAAGATACTAAAATCAAATGAAGACAAGGTATTTGTATCCAGGAGTTTAACTTGAACAGAAAAACACATTAAAGGGTGTTCAGAGATAAGAGTGAAAAAAAGAGGGGAAAAAAAGAAGCTGAATCTCATGTGGCTTGTGGATCTGCAGACCAAAGCCGGCTGTGTAAATGTTACATGAGAGTTTGAGCCATACAAGAACAGCAGTGCCCTGGATGCAAGCAGATGTGTGTTTTCATTTTATGTGTGTGACTGAGCATGTATCTAAGTAAAGAGCAGAGGGCGCGGGGTCGTGATGAGATGCTAGGAGCGAGGTGTGCAGGACCGAGGTGCCTGCCGCTCTGAGTTATCACTTAGGTGTCGAGGCAGCATGAGCCCACAGCTTCCCCCCCGCCGGGACTCCTTGCCGGCTCTTATCAGACACCTCCCTGATTGACGGCCAGAATTTTCCGCCTGCCAGCTGATTTGATCACACTGCTATGGGTCCAATTTAATTTGGGGGGAGAGGGCAGGCTTTTGTCAGTGTAGCTGAGATAAGCCTTCTGCTTTTACAAACCCTTTAAACAAACTGAGCTGGGAAGGGCGTGTCAGTTGGTAGTGATCCCAATCCTACACAAAAACACACACACACTGGCTTTAATGAATGTCCAGGGCTCACATTTACATCCAAGTGCCTAAAAAGTGGTAGAATTCTAGAGGTCAAAATGCAGAAAAGGACAGAGTATGTAAAACTTTTAAATTCAAATATGCTACTGTTGTGATACTATATTTGTTGCAAATCTTTTTTGTTTTATTAGTATGTGCAATTTCTTCTGAAGCACGCTAAAAGTTAAAGCAGCAGTAGGTAATTTTATATTTTACACAGTAGACAGTAGAACATGAGACATATAATCTGTGAAAAATCAAGTTCTTCTGGCTCTTCCCAGTGGTTGTACAGTCATTTGCAGAAACCCACCACTCCCGATCAGAAACAACCAGAGTCAGGACGAATATCTTATCAGGGTCAATCATGCTCCTCCTAAATGGGCTGCCTCTGCACCCCCCCCCCCCCCCCACGTACCCTCATTCAAGCTCAAGATTGCCAATGTACTTCAACTGTGTTGACGGTGAAGAAACAACCTAATATTACAGGAAAACTGCCAATTTCTGAGAGTTCTGAATGTCTCATGGCTGTTTATCCTCCATCATTGGTGGCCCTGCCACTCACGAGCTTGCACATTCGCGGCAGCCTCCGCTGTGGAGGGAGGGGCTGGAGGGAGGGCTGTCACGTTGCACAGCAGAGTGCAAGTGGGATGGACCCRTAAGGTGTGTCCATGGTTTTCTCAGAACTCCCTACTGTAGCTTTAAGTGTATTTCTGGCAAACTTTAAAAATTAGCTTCTTATAAAAATGTGCCTTTGACACATTTTCATTGCCTGCTTTGGAGTAAATACTCATTTGTGGATCTTTCTACAATCTTCACATCAACTCTTCATTTTTATTATTACAGAAAAAAAATAAACCTTCCATTTCTAAATATGTAGGATAAAACTTCTAAAATACACATGCAGCCTTTAGGACTGACAAGCACTGTTAATGCATACATATATACAAGTTATAATTAATTTCTCCAGTGTAGACATAAGAACTTAAAATTGCTCAATGAATAAATTAAGCCATCCAATACACATTTTTAAAGACAAAGTAGCCCAAGATGAACAACATTTTAAAATTAGTCCTTGATGCACTGCTTTGGTTTTGTATTTCCTATGTGCAATGAAAGAGATTCAATTTAGTTCAGTTTATTTTTAAAGTGCCAAGTCACAAAAAAAATGTCATCTCAGGGCACTGTACACACACAAAAAAATTAATAAATAAAAAAAATAAAAAAAAACTAAAGAAGCCAGCAGATTGTGTGTAATCTTCACTTTGTCACAGTCTCCCATCCTGAGCAGCACRTTCACAACAGTGAAGAGGAACAACTCCCTTTTAACAGGAAGAAACCTCCAGCAAAACCAGGCTCATGACAGGCAGCCATCTGCCTCGATCATGATGTTAGGCATCTGCTGTTAAAAGGTAATAAACATTAATTTAAAAAAATCAAAGCGTGTCTGTTTTACTAGCTTTTTTTGGGGCTAACATCTTAATTATACTTTGTGGTGAGACTGATGAGGTCACTGGCTATTTGGCCTCACCCCCATGTTGACTGACAGATAATGTACTGTAAGTCAGAGGCAAATGGTCAGAGAAGAACACACACAGTGAATGAGAGAGACAGTCTGCAGACAGACAGATGAGAAAGGTGAGGGAGAGGAGAGAGCGCCTTGCAGATATGCCATGATGAAGAGAAAGTGAAAGAAAGCCAATGATGGGAGTCTTTCTCTCTCTCTCTCTGTTGGTCCCCTGGGTGCTGCTGTCCAACTGAATCAACAGCAAGGCCCACACCAGTCTATTATTATCTCTTTAAGCCCGTGGATTCCACCTGCGCCCCCTCCACCCTGATGAACTGGTCCAGTGTGTGGTAGAAGAAATGAAAGAAGAGGGGCAAGGGAGATGTTACAACGTTTCTGTGTAGAGGGTTGGGAAAGCATTCGGAAAACGGTTTTCTCTTAGGCAAATGAGACATTTTCTCATTTGCATATACCCTGTTTGCTTTGCTGCCAAAATACAATCAGGAACAATCCCTAAATAAAAGTTGTGAATATAATCCGGGCAACTCCCCTTTCACCTACTATAAAGCTGGTCTACTTGTAATGATGCAGGACTTTGTTATGATCCAAAGTGGAACCTAAAATCTACTTTAAACTCAAACATTTCGGCATGGAGGTCTGCAGGGATTGTCACGCTGTTTTGAACCAGCTCCAATTTCACACTCAAGGAATGGTAATTTTTAGAACTTGGCTTGATTTTTATGCCTCAAAGGTTGCCACTTGCTTCCCTCCTTATGTGATGTAACCGGGGAGCATTGCACCTTAATTTCCCTCCTCGCCCACCTTGTGCAGTGGCATGTAACGCCACTTTGAAAATGTTAATTGCATCTTGATTAGGACAGACACTCGGAATAAAAGCAAAGACAAACACTAATTGAAGAAAGGCAACAAGTGTCAAAGAAGAGTTCTGAACACATTGAAGTTTTTTTTATCTTTTTTTTTTTTAATTTTACACATTGTTGACTCACCAAAACATTTGCTCTGATTGGTCGCTCGGTCCACGAAGACTTTGGCAGAAATGACGTTGCCAAAAGGTAGGAACATTTGCATGAGCTCAGCGTCTCCAAACTCCTGGGGCAGGTGATAAATAAACAGGTTGCAACCTTCTGGCCCTGGTGATGAGAGAGAGAAAAAAAGAAAAAAAATGACAGGAGGGTTTTTGTGGTAACATAAACAGGAAATGTGCTATTGACAAGTGATGAGATGGGTGAATAAGTAACCTTACTCTAACCCCAAATGCATAAAGTGTTAAATCTGGTATAAAGCTTAGTGGTGTTTGTTCCATGTCMTTAACTTATTTCACACTCATTGTTACAGGATGAAGCATTTCACCAAATTATGCTATACATTTGATCCATTTATTAAAAAAAACACTGGGAATAACAAAATATAACAACACAGGAGCAAACGATGGAGTTATAAAAACTGCCTGATTAAAAAAGGGGTTGATTGAACGAGATAGAATGAGACAATTGTTGGGGATGTGAAGCACTGAGACAAGGAGAAACAGAGAGAGAAGGCAGAGCACACATTAAGACATAAGCCAAGTTTTTTGCTCCAATTATTGTGTGACAGTGGGACTGTCTTCCAATCTCTCCCCATCCCTCTACACTCATCTACCCAGCTGCCACATATTGTASTGGCCAATCTGAAAAAAAGGCGGGAATGAACCGGAGGGAGACAGAGCAAGATCATGAAAGCCAACTGTGGACACAGCGAGAGGGAGAGGGGGACTTGATGAACTCAGAGAYAGTAAGCCTGAAGCTGGCTGCTTGTCTAAGTTTCTCTCCTGTCTCATTGCTCAGGGTGATAGCATGACGAGATGAGGCAGGGTCTGGTGAGAAGCCTGATAAGAGGGCGGCAGTGGTAGCTGGCTACAGTGCCGCTTTGCCTTGGTGCGATAAAGGGTGCGCGTGCGCACACACACACACACACACACACACACACACACACACACACACACACACACA